CACACACACACACACACACTCTCTCTCTCTCTCTCTCTCTCTCTCTCTCTCTCTCTCTCTCTCTCTTTCTCTGTTTCTCTGCGATAAATTAAATTTTTGACAAAAATTCGAAATAATGATGTAAAATAATATCAAAAGGAAACTTTACCTCTGCTTTAATTTTATAACAACCATTGCCATCTCGAATATTTGGTTTATATTTCATATTATATCTCTTTATAACAAGTCCTTCCTCGTTATAACGGAGGCGAATATTGAATTCCTGTATCAATTCTTCCCTGTGGCAAAAGTCGCAATAATTAATCAACTTAAAAATATTTAAAAAGAAATAAATAAATAATTTCATATAAGAAAATTATTTTACATCTAGTGAACATCTAATTTCCAAACAATAATCCTAATTATAACATTGGCGGCTTATCTTATTGTAACATTTTAATATTCTACCTATTTGAAATTAAAGTAGATCGACATATAGTTAGAGAACCTTCCTCTTCGGTGAATATATCGTTGAGAAGTTTTAATCTGTCTTCATAAGGTGTATCAATGAGCAAGATGTCATTATGCAGAATCACATCGAACGCAACGAAACACGGTTGATGATGACTGCTCGCCAATAAATGTTTGACGTCGACATTCATACCTTTTGTACTAAAGATTTGTTTCTCTTTATGCCAAGCCATTAATTCTCCATCCAATATAAAAGAATGACAATTCGAATTTAAACACCGCGTAAATACCGCGGTTAAAAGACCTATCGGAAATATTATAATTAATACTACACATTTTTCAAAACGAGATGAATGTATAAGTAGTGTATGTACAGGCGATTGTTAATATCGAGTAATTTATTAATAACGATTGACAAACAAATTAAGTTTCTTTACTTTACAATAACAAATTTTTATAAAGTGACTACGATTTTTCGAAAAGTACTTAACTGATTTTCAATTTTTTTTAAATTTCTTCAGGGTGTCAAAAATTAGTCCTTGAATGAAGGATTTCTTAATTTGATCAACAGTTTTTTTTATATTCACCAAAAATGAACAAAATTTTTATCGAAAATTGAACGTTCATGTTCAAATGTCTGCAACTTTTTTATATATTATTATTTCGTAAAATCCTTTGTTCAAGGACTAGATTATTGAATACATTAAATGAATATTTTTGTTTTTTTATTTTAGATTACCTAAAACCGAGTAATAATGATCACTGCAAATGTTTTGTCGACAAAATACCTGCCACTCTCACAATTCATCACATTTTTAAATGTAAAATATATAAGGATTTGTAGTCTAACATGTACACAGTAAAATGGAATAAGCATTTTTAAAAAGTCTAAGTTTTCGAATTAAAAAAATTCTCAAAAATCCCTTCTTTTTCATCCTCCTGACTAGTAGTGCCCCCTTAATAAATATAAATATTAAGTAAATAGAAAGAACATATAATCTCACATGTAAGATGTTTGTAGTGATCAAGTGTCATGTATTTAAAATTATTAGGATAGTGCAAATGAGATGGCCGTTTTTCGTATTTTAAATTTCTCGCCTTTGTAGTACATCTTTCTTTTATACAGATAGAGCTGGTATTTGAATTATTTGAAAAGTACATGTCTCGCATACGAATATGAATACATAACTTCATTTATTTACTACGATATTAATTGTTGAAATTCGCATTTAGATCAACATGGAAAATAAAGAAATTTGAGAGTTCAAACTCGGTTGAGGCAACGTGAAACATTAATACTGCTAGAGAGAAACCTAAGAGAGGACATGAAGGCCTTTACCTGTAACCGCAAAATGGCTTGCGCACTACCGCCCCTTGAAGAAGTGAATGTTAACTACACAACAATATCCATCTTTTTACGGCGCTCCTGATGGAAATAAATCACTAAAATCATTAAATTATTTATTAATTTGATAGATTTTAGTTAGTTTTTTGCACTTTCTTTGTTTTTCCTATACAGAATAATGATAAAATATTGCACAGAATAGTAACGTGCGATAAAAAGTGGATACTTCACGACAACCGTAGACGTTCTGCGCAATGGTTAGATGCGAATAATCTTCTGAAACACATACCAAAACCGGACCTTCATTCAAAGAAGATTATGGTGTCTGTATGATAGTCAAATAAGGGCATTGTGCATTATTCGTTTATCAAACGAGGTGAGGTCAAAAACAATGATAAATACTGCCAGGACATTGACATTATGTACCAAAAGTTGCACGCTCAACAACTGGTATTGGTCAATCAATAAACACAGTATGTTGCTTCACGATAATGCCAGACCACACATTGCAAAGAAAACCATAAAAAAGCTAATCGGGCTGAAGTTCAAAGTTCTTTCTCATCTTCCCTATTCTCCAGACATTTCACCAACAGATTATCATCTATTTAAGCATCTGCATTGGTTTGTAGCTGACAAAGTTTTTCAAGAAGAAAAAGATGTTAAAAATGCATTCTACGAATTCGTCAAATCTCGTTCTCCAGATTTTTTAAGAATGGTACTAATGCACTAGTATTACGTTGGCAGAAGTGTATTAAAATAAATAGAGATTATTTTGATTAGTATATAAAGGAAGTTTTAAGTTTATCAAATAAAGATCTCTAAAGTTTAAATTAAAAAACGGCTATTTTAGTATATTTGATTGAGATTCACACGAACAGCTGTGTTGGCTCGTATAAGCATTCTTTTATATATTTGGATTTATTCTTTTCGAGTTTTTATTCTTTTGTTAATTCTAATATAATTAAGTATATTGTTAATGTAATAATTTTATATAATATATAGTATTCGCTACAAACATCTCAGTGGCTGTATGCTCTTTCCATTTACTGTTTCTTTATTTTATTTAATTTGGAGTATTCATTGTCATACCCGAAGATCCAGTTTCTCCATATCCAGGTTTGTTTGTAATGTCGTATCCTCTACGTGTGAAGTATTTAAATTTTCCATTCTTCATATGGAGTTGCGACCTTTCGCCGTCGTATTTAGTTTGAACATAATATAAGTCATTGTCCCGAAATAACTTACCGATATTTTCGATATTGCATCTCTCTAAGAGCATTGGTTTAAAATATGAAAATATCTGTATACTACATTTTAATTTAATCTTAGGATTATGTAACTGGTTACAAATCTCGCGCAGATCATTCGTCACAAGAGATTTATCATTCGCGTCGGGATGATATACTTGAAAGAAATAAACTGCGATTAGTACGTTTTTCAATGCGTCGTGAGATACATTTATTATTTACATCTACAAATTCTGTCATTAGGCAATTAAGTTATACGAACTGTGCAGTATTTTTTGTGGTCCTATACCAAGTCGTAAATCTTTAAGAATGATACGTGTCATCCACTTCATCTCAAATCCTGTAATTTGTCGAAAAAGTACTCGAAACGTTTCAACTTTTTGCTGCTTCGTTACATTCATCTTTCTTTCGGAGATACTATCAAGGAATTCGTTGATCTGCGCGATCGTGAGTCCAGTATCGATTCGAGGTAACTTTTTATTCAATACGTAATAAGCTCGATCAGCGAAATCATTTCCTATAAATTTGTCCGACGAGAATTCTCTAAAATAAGATTGTTGCACTTTTGAAAAAAAAAACATTTCTTCAAGTAAACTTATAATACATGTTAGTATTATAGATGAGTATTATAGATGTAGGGGTACATTTGTTATAATGTAAAATTCTTAAATAAAAGTATGTTGAAAAGGGCTACGAGTCAAGTTATTATTTTGATATTTAATACAAAAGAGTTCGTAAATAAAGATTAAGATAAAAATATAAACATATTAATAATAACAGACATTTCGACTTCGATCGGGTTATTACCACTGTTAAATATATACATAATATAATTAAATGATTATCTAATCAAAAAAAGATCCACAAAAATTTAAACTTTTAAAACTTTAAATGATTATCTAATAATAATAACCTATCCTCAAAAATTTAAACCTTTAAGACTTTAAATGATATTATCTCATATAATATATTATCAAGAAAAGTAACTGATATATTATTAAATGTCCCAGTTCAAAGTGAACATACATAAAGTGTATATTTTCTAAATTTAATAATATATATTACCACGAAAAGTAACTGATATGTTATTCAAGGTGCAAGTTAAAAAAATGAACATACATACATACATATAAATAAAACAGATTACAAAATTTGCAGATTACAGTTTTCTAGAAAATAAATACAATATGTTATTCTGCACAAAATGTAAAAGTCGGTTATTGAGATTTGATTTGAAATTTATACTAGACCGTACTAAGAGTAATATATCGTAGTTATTTAAAAAAAAAAACTGCAAATTGTAATCTGTTTACTTATATGTATGTATGTTCATTTTGAACTTGCACCTTGAATAATATATCAGTTACTTTTCGTAGTAATATATTATTAAATTTAGAAAATATACCTTTATGTATGTTCACTTTGAACTGGCACATTTAATAATATATCAGTTACTTTCGTGATAATATATTATATTATTACTAGATAGTATCATTTAAAGTCTTAAAGGTTTAAATTTTTAAGGTATTATTATTACATAATCATGTAATTTTTAAAAGTTTAAATATTATTATTAGATAATCATTTAAAGTTTTAAAGATTTAAATTTTTGAGGATTTTTTTTTTATTAGATAATTATTTAAAGATTTAAAGGTTTAAATTTTTGAGTCTTATTATATTATTAATAATTTTATATTTTCATCTTAACTTTTATTTACGAACAATAAATCATTTATTATAAGTATCAAAATAATAATTTGGCTCGTAGCTCTTCTCAAATACTCTTATTTTATTTGTATAACTTGAGCTATTCTATATTATATACAATATATATACTATATATAAAATTCTTAAATTATTATGTATATGTACTTAAAATGGTTACAATTAGGAAATTATCATACTAACCGATAATTTGTCAATTTTTTATAACTGTCGCTATTTTTTGCGAAACCATATATGTGAGCGTAAAGATTTGCCAACGAAACTTGCTTCAAATTATGCGGTCCACGCTGTCGTTCAAGGTGAGGTACTAGCAATCTTAAGATAGGATAAAATGATACATCCTAAAATTTAATCGAATCATAATTATAATAGAGCTGAAATATAAGTAAGGAGTATTATCGTCATAGAATGTAATAAATTTTGATACTTTATCTAAGCTGATTTTTAGATTGTTGAAATTTGTTGTTTAGAGTTATATTGTTTAGAGTATGATTTCATCGGAATACAATAAAATATCAACAAAAATCATTAATTATTATTTATCATTATAATGATAAAAACGTAAAAAAAATCTATCATAATTAATGATAATTGATAATTATAATTATCAATTATCATTAATTATGATAGATTTTCAGTGATTTTTTAAGTATACATAGAAAAAGGGATTTCAATAAAACTTACAATGAAACATTACGTTTTTATTGATATTTTATCGTATTCCGATGAAATCATACTCTCGTAACAGAAAGCGATAAAGAATGCTGGAGAATGATATTATTTCTTTTGGGGATAGCTTTTTCTTAAATTTTTTTCCTTTCCAGACTTAGAGAAGCGACAAATTACGATAGAAATTAATTAAATTTTCCGTAAATTCCATACGTTTCATTGTCTTCTTTCTTTCGACATTTTTATTCATCGAAATTTATTATGGTTTGTATTTGTCCTAATTTTTGCAGTGTTATTATTACGTATGTAATGTAATCGCGAATGTGCGTAGCGGTCATCGACGCGAGTCCTTTGATGCGGTAAGATGTGTAAATGCCGATACCGGGTGCTAAGCAACTGCGCGCTTCCCCTCTTCTCCAACGCGCTGCCGACCATCGTTTGACGAACTGGCCCGGGCTATACTATACCTCGATAGTCCAGGAAAATTAGTCAGAAATATATCTGTTTTTGGAAAAAATGTTATTCAGGACGGACGCTTCATTAAAGTTTGTATTTTGGTGTGTAAATTCTTAAAAAAATTGGAGTAACCAAATTTTTTTTGTTTTTCAATGTTCAATAAACAAAAACACGTAAAAAACGGTTTTTTTTTCAGTTTTTCTATTCTAGCTGAAGAACGTGATGTTGTACGGAAAAACTGTTAATGGAAAAGTTGTAGCTCTTGAAATTCTCTACAAAAATGGTCATTATGTTTTCGAGAAATTAATATTTCAATGAGATAATAACAAAAAATCGTGAAAAAGTAAAAAAAAAATCAATTATTTTTTATCTTACGCAGTTTTATCGTTAGGAATGTACATTTTGGTGAAAATGTAGCCTAAATGACGTAGAATATCGTGGTATTTTTTTTATTACGATTAAATTTTTATTTGACGGGAAATTTGCATTTTCATTTTTTTTCATTTTTTTTTGGATTCTAATTATTACAGCTTCTGAAAGTCGTACAGTAAATTATAAAAACGCATTTTTTTCGTTAAAACTTGTACTAAAAAACGTATATTTCAGATTTTTTTATTACTGCTTAGAATGTTGTCAAAAACGACATTAAACGAAATTGTGTCATTTCATACTAATTCATTATCTTATTCACTTGTATTTATTGTCAAAACAAAACCCACATAGCCTTCTACAATACAGATTCAAATTAATTTTGACACCTTGTGCCATCTGTTGCCACTGACATACAACTACTTGGATACTTTCACCAGCTGCCCGGCCCCCCTATTAGGAAGTACACCCAACGTCAACGATTCTCGGCCTTTCAACTTCTGTTGTCCTTTTCTGAACCAATACATTTTCATGTAAAGAACAAAGACAGCACAGGAAGGCCGAGAATCGTTGATGTTGGGTACCATCTTAAATCAATATTTATCGTACATTATTAATAATTACTCGACAAATTGTTGTGTAGTTTTTGATGACTATCCCGAAGTAATAACTTCACATTGTCTTAAAACAGCCGAACGCCTACGCAGAGAGTGGAAAAACGTTGGACGTGAAATAATTTTTGACGAAACTTCCATTATCCCCATTTCGCAAGAAAAATTGTTATCAAATATAAAGAATAAAAAAAATTGATTGCATTAATATGTACGAAATTACGTGAAGCAGGATGTCGCGCAAAAGTTGCATATGAAGATGCTGATGTTTTAATTATTGACACTGCAATTGAATTGTCACACGCTCATAATGTCATTATTATCGGTGAGGATATTGATTTGTTGGTGATTTTAATGCAATGTGCACCACAAAACGAAAATATGTTTTTTGTACAGCCAGGTAAAGGTCACTCAAATGCAAAAATGTTCTCTGCAAATAGTTTTAAATATGAATCGCTGAAATCATTGGTCGCATTCTTACACGCATTTTCGGGTTGCGATACGACATCAGCCTTCTTTAATCAGGGAAAAAATAAAATAATTAAAACATTGCTAAATAACGAGGGGCTAAGACAAAAAGCTTTGATTTTTAATGACATTAACGCAACGCCCAAAGATGTAGCTAGTCGTGGAAATACATTAATTGCAGCGATGTACGATGGAAAGGAAGGAAAAAAATTACATGAAATTAGATTTGACCGGTACAGACAGCATACCTTGAAGCACTGTGTAAAATTATCGGCATTACCACCGACTGAAGCTGCCGCAAAGGAACACTGTTCACGAGTATACTTGCAAACACAAATTTGGATCGGAAATGGAAAAGATCCAGAACAATGGGGTTGGAGGATGAGTAGCGAGGGTCCTATTCCGAAATATATGGACAACGTCCCCTATCCTCCTGAAGTGGTTTGCAGTATAGCGTGCATATGTGTCACAGGCTGCAAGGGGAAAAATTGTAAGTGCAGAAAAAACGGATTACACTGTACAACATTTTGTTCAAACTGCACCGATAACTGCACAAATGTAGCTGCTTTCATTGCCGATGAAAACAAGACAGAAAGACGAAAGCGATGTGCTATTTTTATTAAAAGATGTTCAAGAACATCTTTTAGACAACGATGACTATGAACATTTTATTAATGAGAGTGATGTTGACGACTTTGTTGTTGAAATGTAACAAATGTAAATTTAATAAAAGCTCATTGACAAGTATACAATATTTTTTATTAAACCTTTCTTAGCTCCCGTTCCGTGATGACATCATTTGTAAATTACTTTTCATACAGTTAAGATGTGTATAATTTGACTTGCAAATTTAGTGAATAATTATCTTCTTTTATAATTTTCATCCTACATATAGAATTTGATGACTTGATATCCATATATTGGCTCTGTGTATTTTAATTTTGACTAATGGACTGGAAATTTCATTTGGATTAATCTTTCTCGCATATAAACGAAGAATGGATTATAACAGGTTTTTTCATCGTTCAAGTAAATTGACTACTGCCATCGAATATTGGAGCGTTCGTATTGTTTCATGAAAGTTTGCGACTGTTGAGGATGTATTTTATATTTATTAGAGAATTTACAATGTTTTATAATTTTTATTTGTTTTTGCGTCTGTGACATGTAAACGGTTTAATTTGATTGGGATTTTTGTTGCGGCTGAGGATGACTTTGTAAAGTCGAAACGTTCTGCGCTAATTTTATCGATTGTAATAAATTTGTTTAATAGTAACAACAAATATAGCTCATTATTTGTTTGACCTGGGAGGTATATTTAACTTTTATAATTTTTGATTTTATATGAGCTGATAATATTTATTAATATTTTACTAATATTCCTGTAATAGCAAATATTAATATCTCGATTATTATTACAAATTTCGCTAAACGGTAAAGGACTTTTATGTTTATTTCGATCCCATCTACCTTTCTGTATGCGGCAGAAAAAGTTTCGCCGGACACTTTGTATATACATATATGTATATGTACAAGCGAAATTTTTTAAGAAGTTGAAAATACCATGAGGATATAATAAAAGATTATTTATTCACTCTTATATCGATCGTTTAATATCTTTTGATTAATATTACAACCGAGTACATAAAAATTGATTGGATTTTTGTTTATTAGTTAAAAATATACAATTATATAATTTTTTAAAACAATGAACATATAACGGAACGTGTAAATTAATAGATTAAATAAAACTATAAAAGATTAAAGTATGTCGATTTTTTTCATTTACGCTTGTTACTTAAATTGACTCATGATATTCTTATATGATTAAATAGAAAAAAGAAAATATAATAGAAGGTGATATATAATAGAAAAATAATAAATGTATATCGATAAAATATATTTATAGAATTAAAAAAATAAAATAAAATAAAAAATTAAATATAAAAATCGACTCTCGAAAATTTCAAATCAATAGAATAAATAGGCTAATGAGAGTAAAATCGCTGTTAGTAATGCGAGAAATTATATTTCCAACCATGTGGTTTTGATTGCTGACGATGAAAGTGACCACTTTCCTACTTATCCATGGCTTTTTCGCGAATGTACTACTGAAGATGGCTCGGATGTAAGCCGAAACGTATAGTAATTTTATATATGATATTATTTAATTGTTAATAAATATATGTTTTTTATAATTTCGCATTACTAACAGCGATTTTACTCTCATTAGCCTATTTATTCTATTGATTAGAAAATAAAATAAGTTTTAGTTAAAAAAAAAAACAATTCATTTACAATGAGATTTTTAAGAAAAAAAATTTAATATAAAAATAATTATAAAATAAGGTAGAAATAAAAATAAAATTAAAATAATGCTTTTAATATCCTCTTTCATCTTTCACTCACACCACCATCTTCGACTCATCGGACCTCCTTCCACCCTCCCTGCCCCACCACTCACCTCTCTTTTTCGCCGTATTTAACTCTCTTTCGTTATATAATATTTTTAAATCATTTTTGTATATATTTGTGATATATTTGTACTCTAAAAAGTAAATGATATCCGAACAAAATCATATCATAAAAATGAAAAGTTTAAGTTTCATGTTCAAAAAAGGATACTCAAAAATTTAAACCTTTTTATCTAATAATGATATATTACCATGAAAAGTAACTGATATATTATTAATTAAAGGTGCCAGTACAAAGTGAATATACATAAAGTGTATGTAACTTTCGGCCGATTTTCGAATCACCTCCGTTTTCCGCTGTCTAATAAATATAATAATATAAATAAAATTACAATCGGAGAAAGGGAAGCAGAGTAATATGATCGCCAGAGTGCCGACGCCACAGTACTGCACACCAGTGCCATTGCTAGTGCCGACGCCAAGCAGAACAACAAGTCATCATAGTATCAAAATGATGTCGAAATGACTCCAAAGTGATTATTAAAAGACATTTTTCAATGTCATTTTGATGTCATTGTGACTTCATTGTGACTTGATCTTCTGGTTGAGCAGTGCTGAGCCCGTGCCGACGCGAGTGCCGAGGACAGTGCCTGACGCGGAGCGTCGATTACTTCTAGCTTTGTCTATTAATGCTGTACATACATAGTAATAAGTCGTTTTGGCTTATGTGGATTGTTTGCTTTCTTTCATTCTATACCTTTGACTAAATTTAACTAATTGACTTTCTGTTTTGACACTGACTGATTAGTATGTTGTTACATCCCACTAAAAATCCCTCTTTCTTCATTATTATAAATATATGATTCATACATTTTCTTTATCTTATTTCTAGTTTGGTATTTCGTCTTAGTCAGATATTCTGTCTCCATTATATCTATATTTCGTAACCGTCCCTTTTATAGAAGGGCCTATCTTAGTTCATAAACATTCAAACAACAGATGACTCACGCTCGCATACTCTTATGCGTCACGTAGATAAAGAATATCTATTTTATAATCTTTTTCCTTCGAAGGCCTTTTTCTAGAAAAATGTTAAACAATAGCATATATGCCTAATAATTAAGTAGTAGTATATGGTAAGATCTTTCCGAATGCGAGGATGAATATCTTTTATTTTTCCTTTTCTTTCTTTTGTCTCTTATTCTTAATGAAACTAAAATCCAAGAGTCATAATATATAAAGTTATAAAATATTTTAACCCAACTTAAAATATACAACATTAATATAATTTAGAACATGTCGTTACATTTCGCCTCGCATAAGGATATTAGTTAAGGAAAATCGAACTTTTATAAATTATTAAAACTCTCGTCTACTAAGATAAGACTAGACTCGTAGTGTCGGGAGTAGGGCTTACGCGGAGCGCTGCTCCCTTATCGTAAGAAAACAAGCGCGAGCATAGGTTCCACCAAATTCTAAAGAATCTTGATTGGTCCTGGAAGGACACTCCCACGTTCATTTTTTAGTATAAAAGAGCTGCGAAAAGCAGGAAAACTGTCAGTTGTTAGAAGAAAATTCATCATTAACTAGTCAGCCAGTCGTCAGAAGAAACTTCACCATTCTTTAGTTGGAACTATCCTCACGCTTCGCATCTAGACGTAGGTTATTTCTCCTTTTGTGTCATTTATTTTTTTATTTTGTACTTAATAAACAGAATATAAAAGTTATTCAGCCGAAACCGAAATCTCAACTCTGCGTCTCGTCTAGTAGTACATGAATATCCGAGGAGTTGCTAAGACTGTCGCTGCCAATAGTGTGGCCCCCGTCCTAAGCATTTTTTCGGAGCATTCACAAATTATAGAGGACTGTGTTGTGACTGTCGCTGCCAATGGCGTGGCCCCAGTCTTAGACATTTTTCTCGAAATTAGACAATTTCTTTCGCGTTGCTTCCATGCCTTCAAAAGGTGGACGAAGAGAAAAAGAGAAGAGATTAAGGTTCCAGATCAAAACAGCCTTTAATAAAAATCACGATCCTTTTCCTTATTTCGAAAAACTAGCGCGTCTACTAAACCATAATAAACCATTAGATCCATC